GTTGGTGAGGAGGCGGGCAGGGCTCCGTGTCCCCTTTCCCCCGCCGTGCCTGGGGGGAAGGGGCTGTTTCCAGGCTTGTGCCTGATGTCGGAGGGGGTCTTTGGGCTTTGTGTGCCGAGGCAGCCTCGCCCTCTGGGCTGGGTGAAGGGCTTAATGAGCTCTGCGAGACGTACCGAAGCCTGCCGGGGAAGGGTGTTTCGCTTTCTGCACACGGCATTGGAGCTCCCTGGAGGCCCGCGGCTCTGCGCCGTAGTTCGGCCGCGGTGGGAGCGTTACTTCGGGGCACTCGGACACCGAGCGGGCTCCAGTGCTGCCGCAGAATCAGCCGTCAGTGTTTTCGCGAGTGCAGGCGGTGGGGAGGCGTTGAGAAACTTGTGGGAAATTTCTAGGGTAGTTCAGAATTAGCCCACAGGTACTGTTAGACTTCAGACATGCATCAGGCATGCTTGATACCCCGATTTCTTTCAGCTGTAAAGACAGCAAATGTAACACTTTTTAATCTCATAAACATGTTGCCCTTAGGTGTTCTAATTTTTTGCTAATGATGTAGGATCACGGTTTCCCTTAGGTGGTTGCTCGTTATAAATGGACTGCTTACCCTGCTGTTCCAGCAGAAACAGCTGCAGGTGGCTGTTTGCCTTGTCATTATTACACTTGGATGAGCTCCCATTGAGAATCAAGAAGACTTGCTCTCTCCAAACATCACGCTGTCTCCAGCTGTCGTTTTGAAGTTTCCTATGACAGTTGTTGAGGGGCAGCCTCAGAGCTGCAGGAGAGAAATAGTGGGGTGGAGTCGTGTCAACAGAGAAATGCAAGGGAAGCATGTACAGGGACAAAAAGCATAATACAAGCAAACTGTCTTGCAGCAGAACTGGTTGTAGGTCCATCTGCAAAGGTCTTTGGAGGCAAATATGCAGGCAAATTTACAAAACAAACAAAAATGTCTTTCAGAGTTAGAAACGCCTTTAAAAATGATGGAATGATTCCATGCATGAGCAATGTTTTAGTTGCTCAGGGAGGAGACAGTGTGTGCACTTCCTTGGAAGTGCCTGACATTCAGCCTCATCCACAAGTATGAGAGCATACGTTTATTCTCATCCAACACTAAATTAACACAAGGCATCATCTCCCAGAAGATGAGTCTGTGCAAGGCAGCTACTCTTATTTCTCACTGTATGCCTTGTAATCTTCAAGAGCTTACAGCCCTTTATGGAAATAAAATATGTTAAATTTGCACAGCAAGTTTGGACTGGGATAGCCAAATTTGTAAATGCCATAAATTCTAGTAACAGTAGATATTACTGTTTCACATATTCATTCTAGATCATGGGTAACATAATGAGTCTCTTAATGAGTCCCGGCAGAGTTTATGGTGACAGTGGTGGCATAAGTGCTGTGTGTTTTTGTTGACGTGGTGCTGGGCACTCACGGGGCAGCCGCATGGTTCGCTGAGCACTGCCCTTGCTGGTGTCAGGTGTTTGGCTGCCAGTTATTGTGGCACCGTCATGTTTCTATGCAAGTTCTAGTGCTCAAAAGACAGCAAAACTTACAGGCAGTCTTTTGCAACTAATTTTCAGTCTCAGGCATGGGACACAGACTGAGACACAAATGCATGAAACAAAAAAAAGCAATTGTAAAAATTTACTAATTGCCATACATATCACAAAATACAGATATGTAATTATTTTTAGAAGTGGGGTTTTTTTTGCTGTAGTTTAATATGCAGTTAATGATAAGCATAGTTTGGCTAGACTGATGATTTTTCGTTCCAAAGTGTTTAATAAAAAATGGAAATTGAGCTCTTGGAATTTCTAAACACCTTCTAATTCAACTATTGAGACATTAAATAGTCCAACCCCTTTTATTTTCCTGTGAAAATTTATTTATGTATTTATGCATTTGATTAATGGAGGTTATTGCTCTTAATGAAGTTTGACATTTTCAGAGGGCTAATGGGGCAATCTAAAAGAAACAAGCCTATGAAGATAGGAGGAGTTGATGTAAATAAGTGGATTTCCCTTAAGTAGTTTCATAAAGGTACTGCTCCTATGGCCTTGGTTATGCAATGTCACTCATAAAATAATTTAATCAACTGAAAGGGTAAAATTTACTAAATGAAATTTAAGTCTCATACGAACTTTTTGAGGTTCAAATGGATTTGGTTCACTACTGCTTAACCCAAAATCCTTTAAAGTATGGGATTATACACTGTCAAAATCAAATACCTCTTAGCAGCTGAGGAAACTTCTTGTGGAAACAAACTAAATTTAAATCATTGTTTGTTCATGAAAATTGGTTCATCTTGTCTGTTTTGCTTGTTTACACAGAGAAGCTAAGATTTGTCTTTACTTTTGATTCCAAAAGGACCTTGCTGTGGGCAATAATAGGTGGTAAAGGGTGCTGGTTATTGCTGTTCTTTTCTGTTTTTTATAATACAGGCATTTTCTTACCCAATTATGAAATTGTCTGCAGCTTTGTCTTGGCAGAAGAAATAGTTTTCTTAACTGTTAAAATTACATTGTTTTACATTTAATGCTCACATGGGTTTAGTGCCTGTGAATTTAAAACAGAACACTTGATACTGTGATTGAAACTGATTCTAGAATGTGACATGTTTCTTTAAATTTACATTGTAAAATTGATCAGCTTGTTTTCAGCTTTTAATTCTTTAAGTGCATTTAGATAAGTATACAGAGTAAGTATGCAAGTGTAAAGGGAAAAAGTAAAGGAGAAGGTGCAACTATCCAACAAGCAAAGGAACTTTGATACTGCTGTTTTCATAGCAGCATTAGCTAGTAAAACATCCTTACAGTACTAGTGAGCTTTGGGACTGTTTATATATTTTGCTTAATTGTTTTTCTTCTTCGTGGCTAGTTAAATACAGATGCACTTTAAGTTTTAAACATTTCTACATGAGACAATCTTCAAATTATATGGTAAATTATTAAAAATATTTCAGTGAACATTTCAGTGAATTTAGATTGAATTTCTTGTCCATATGCTTCTGAATGCTGTTTAATGTGCTGAAACTTTCTTCCTGATAAGGTCCTGAAGGTTGCAGATGGGCACATCTGTACTTGCGCACTGTACTGAACTCTGCACGGAGACTTTGCTTTAGGCCTGCTGATTATTTCCTCCAGTTATCACTGACTTTCATAATCTAGTCTATGCGTGTTCCTATTTATTTAGCTGTTCTTGTACCAGATTGCATCAAATTTAATGTTTTCCAAAGTTCAATCTGAACAGGTCTTTTCTTGCTAAGTAATTGAAAAGACAAAAAGACAGAGCTGAATCTGGGTGACCAGAGTGGAGAAATCTGAGAAGTGATGTGCACCTCCTTGCCTGACTTGCTGGGTAAGGTTGGGTGTGGATGTGCAGCACATTGGAGACATCTGGATAATAGTGTGCAGTGTGGCTTGCCATGCTGCTTTTAAAAAGAGCTTATTGGATCTTGAGTTTATTGCGGGATAAGTGTGCACACGTGGGCAATTACTGTAGATTAGTTACTGTGCTGTGAACCCACTGTAACTTCCTTTGTGGTAACTTGTTACACCGTCACTCATCTAAGCTTTCTGAGAAGTTTTTTTTTAAATATGAGCAAATCATGCAACATTTTTCTGCAAAATTTTCTTACAGCATCTGCATAAGAGAGTATAGAGCTTGCTGTGTATCTATTTTGTACATGTAATTAATTGCTCACCAAACTTCAGAACAGTTGTGTCCTCTTTAAATGACAGCACTATAGAAACTAGCCTAGCACTCATGTTTTCATATCAGCATAAAGTCTCCTTGGTAGGGTTAAAATAGATGACTAACCTCATTTACAAACAAAAGGCAGTTACTGTGTATTTAAATGAAATTATTGGTGGGGTTTTTTTTTTAATACCAACTAAATAGCTAAAAGTAATAGTTTCAGTGTTAAGACCTCCAATTGGTTGTGTATCCTGACTAGTTAAAATGGAAGGCACATACTTTTACTATTATACTCACTCTCATTCAGCAGCTATTTCTCTTTTGCACCTGTTTATAATAGTGTAAGTTTCCATTCCAGCCATCCATTATTGTTAGCTGGCTAAGGACCTGTTTGAGATACATGATTGTCATCTGTAATGATTGTCTTCTGTCTCATATTGCTTCATGTCCCTTGAGTACTAGCATTGTTTTGGAATCCTGGTTTGCCATAATGGGCTGGTAAAATATACCATGACTGTTTTAGCATAGAGTTCCACCTGAACGAAATCCCACTGCAGAAACTACATTGCAGCATTTCCTGTTCAACTGCTAAATTTCATTGTATTAATGTGGTTTAGGCCCCTTGGAAGCTGGACAGATTTTGATCAATTTCTGTTCCATGGTGTAAGTAAAAGAGAAATTGCTGCTTTCCATTTTGTGACAGATAAAAAGTCATTTTGATTTAAAGTTGTTGGGGCTTAGCCAAATTCAGATAACCTCTTCACAAACTCGGAAGGTAATATGAAAAGAAGCATGTAGGAAAAGCAAGGGTTATGGAAGTTGCTGGTTTTATCATTAAAAACAACTGGTAACATTAAATAATACCCAATTTGATTATTGTTTTTGAGATATCCATGTTTGTTGTTAAACAGATACTTGAGGACTGGAGGAAGAATCCTGAGGAAGAACTATTTCCATTACTGACTTTTTTTTGGTGATAATTATAGCTTTTAAACATGCTTCTTGATACTTAGATATAATGAAAGCTTTGATATGGGTTTCCTTTACTGTCCTAATGATATTCCTGAAATTTACTACATAATCATGTCTTGTTCAGGCATAATGCACATTTCTACTACTTGTAGGTGTTGGTAGAGCGCTCAAGCATAGTCATTAAACAGAATTCTATTTTGGAACACATTTAGTAGGACACAGAACTTCTCAACTTTTCTCTCTTCAATGTAAATATCAACAATGCTATGTTTGAGCACATATGCTCTAACAAATTGCTTATGAAAAGCTTCTCAAATAGTGGACAGTTAGACAATTTGATAGTTCTAGAGAAGCTACATGGTGGTGTTTTTGATGGCCCATTTCCCATTCTACAACATCCAAATGAGTTCTTTTGGATGAGGAAATGAATAATGGCAGTAATTTCCAGCAACTAGCCAGGACACAGCTAACTATCTTTAATTGTTGGGCGCAGAGAGTTGTGTTCCAAATTGCACCTTGCAACCTCTTGGATATTCTTAATTCTGCTTAAAAATCACATAATGTAGCTGAGATGTGCCACTGTAATATGAAGGTTTAATGAGACTGTCAAAGTGTTTTTGTAGTATTCGTATCCTGGAGTTTATATTGATTGGAGTGAGTTGTAATTTGTGCATCTCTCGGAACTAGAGGTATTCCATGAAGTAGAGCTCAGAGATGCTTTTCAGATCTTTACCTGTCCATTCAAATTTTAACATGCTTAAGCCACTTCGGATAGGGTTTGCTGAAACTTTTAAATTGTCTTAAAATAGTTTAGATTTACACTGTTGTGTACTAAATGATCTGTTTCCAAACTGTCCAGTATTATCATCTCCTGATTTATATATTTTCGCTGTGAAATTTCCTTCTTATATTTTAGGGGCATTTCTTATTGGTCTGTCCTTGGATTTCAGCTTTTTCTCCTCATCATGTCTTCAGGTTTTTCATCTTGCTTTTGCATGCATCATGTTTTGCTCCCATATAATTTACTTTATTGTACCTTCCAGTTTTTGCTTAAAGCTAATGTAGCTAAAATAAATGAGCTCTAACTTTAAATTCCTTTCACTTGCCAGCTTCTTTCTAATTCAGATTTGTGACTTCATGTTCATCTGCATGTTTTCCCTCACTCTTATACTGAGCAGTGGAAGGATTTTGATACAAAAAGACGCTTCTTTTTTTTTCCCCAGTTAGAATCTCTGCTTCTTGTTTCATGCCTGTGGCAACTAGTCTCTTGTATTTTAATGCACTGGGAGGTGTTCTTCAGGTGAGGTAATCTGTACACAAATACTCCACTCCTACTGCAGTGGTGTGTTCTTTTTCTTCAAAGCCTTTTCTGACTCAGCTGTATCCCAGTGCAACATGCTGCAGCCTGCCCCATTTGGCTGACATCATATATGCTTGTAGTCACAGCAGTCTTCCTGCAAAAGCTCTGCCCTTTTCTGTGCTGCATCTTCCTGGAACTAATCAGTAGAGCCCCTGGCTGCTTTCAGCCTCAGATTGGTGCTGCTGTGGTGTGGTTGACTAGTAAGAGCCAAAGGAAGGCATTATTAATGGCTACAGTAGAGTCATTGTGACCTTCTTATTTTTGTTTCCAAGTAGATCAAAGCTTCTGAGCTCCATTTAATGTACTGTTTTCTTCTACTTTACCTTATGCCACTAAGTTGTAGTCTACTCTGGTGTGGAGAGATTGGAGTGTATGTTTCTGGTGTGTTAACATTTGTAGTATGGGTGGCAACTCTTAGTTGTCAGCTTCCTCAATCGTTCTTAACTTCCTGTTTTGAGAGAGTTAATTTACAATGGTTAAAGACATATGAAGTCATTACGGTAATCTTCAGTCTTGGAGTTGCTGTACTGCCAATCAATGCTGTTGTATTGCTGTAGAATGCATTGACAGCTACAAGTGAGTCTCTTCTGGAAGGTTCTTCAGCTGAGGAAGACCTGTATCTTTTGGGTCAAACAGTTTGATTTAGCTGTGGGAAGTTTGTTGTACATGCTTCATGTGTCTGGTGTTTTTCTGATGTTGGGAAGAGAGGAGGAGGTAATAGTGGCATCACTCTGATTCTTAGCCTTGCCCTTGGTCTTTTTGGTTTTTGTAAAATCCAAGGTAGGCAAAGCAAGTAGAATTAAGTCCATCTCAAAACTTGAGATTGGTTGTCCTTTGTCAGGTGGGATATTAAGATCACTGCATTACAGTGAGAGTTTATAATTGCATGATGTGCAAGAATCTGCCCTGAAAGAGTTGTTCTGTCACTGCATCAGTGTACACTGCACACTGTACGTGTGTGTGTTGTGAGGTAGTGGAGTTACATGAAATATGTATGTTCTCAAGTTCTGTCTTTCCTCAAAGTCTAAGTTACAAAACAAAGGTTTTGATGAAGGAAACCAGTTGAGTGCAAAGAGGTGGGGGGAACATGCAGTATATATTTGATTAGAAAGGGAGGTGGAAAAGAGCGAGCTGTGTGAGCCTGGATTGCTTCAGTAAATAAATGACTTGTGAAACAATGCAACAGTTGGGAATTCCTGGGAAGAATGTGTTGAAGCTTAAAATACCAGGTAGAGTTTTGATTAGAGCTATCTTGTAGGTTTGTTGAAGGTACTCCTTTTGTGTGTTTCTCGAAGAGGACATACACCTTAATTTCTTGCCTTTTATACTGGGTACTACTTGTAAACACGCCGAATGTGCATGGAACTTCTCAAACACAGCAAGGCATGTCAGCTATCCAGAGAACTAGGAGTGAGTCTGGCCTGTACTGGGCAAAAGGTAGCCTTGTTGCCTTTGATGCTTCTTTGTATTGTATAAACATATCTTAGGACAGAAAGGAGAACAGGCACATACTAAAAAGACAGTAAATTCAAAGAGCTAGAGAGATAGTAAATGTTAAATATTACTTTTAAGGGTATGGAGATGTCACAGAAATTACAGAAAGTGGCATCATTGTTTACACAACTGTGAAAATGGAGTGACTCTTGTGCTTTTCAAGGGTCCTCAGGGCTATAAATACATGAACGGCCTGTAGCTTTTCTTCTGGGCTGAGTGCCTGTGAAGATTGTAGGCATTTCTACAAAAGCAGTTATGACAGTATGATATAGGCCAAAGCATAAACCCCTTGAGCTACAGTAAGTGGCAGTGACTATTTGGATTGTTACAAACAGCTTCATTTTATTTTAAAACCTGTCAGTTAATAAATATTTTTTCACCTGGATCTGCAAGTGTATCTTGTTAATTTCAGTGTTAGAGGGATGAGTGTTTTGGAACTCACTCTTACCAAAGATCAGTGTTCTGTGTGGGTGGTGGTTTTATAAACATGTTTCTTGGGAAGCTTTTTTAAGTGAACTTAATGGTAGTAATTACAAAAAATCTCAAAAAGCTATTATAACACAGAGTTCCAGTTCTAGAATTACAGAGGAGAGATGAGATAATCTTGTTGAGAGAAAGTTGTGGGAAATAACTTCTGTGTTGCTAATGTCATTGGCATAAAGAGAACAACTTTTGCCATGTGTTTTGTACAGGAGCATGTCTGATTAGACTGTCAGATATTCCTAAGTAACGCTGTGTGGCATACAGTCATATTCACTTGGAATATTAAGTCTGTCATTACTCTAGAAGAAACACTCATTTAGCTGTTTCTACACACACATAATCTCTAGTTAGAGTTGTATGTCTTGCAATTCACTGTTGTTTTGTGCTGAACCACATTTCCAAGTTTGGTTCTAGTCCAAAGTAAGCCTTAAGTTCCATGTTTCGAGTGTGTGATTGGTTATGACTTTTCCTTTAATCTGTTGAGGGAGGAGAAGTTTTCAGCTAAACTTCTAGAGTTTTTAAACTGGACTACTTTCTTCAGTCTTGGAATGTTAATGTCAAAATAAATGAATGGAGATGCTGACAAAGGCTTCAGTACATCTGGCAGAATAATATGATCTCATTGTTTCTCTCTACTCTCCCATGTGCATTATCTTTTTTTCCTTGTTGCTAATGCTTGACTGTATACCTCCTTAGGACAGAGATAGTCCCTTTGTTCTCTGTTCAAAGAGAAGGAAAAGATCAGGTGCTAGGATAGACATAATAAAAATTAATTGTTTATTGTTCAAGGCTACTGAAACAGTAGTTGTGTTTTGTGTACTTTAGCACTGTTCCTTGGCCACTAAGATGCTTATTGCTTCCTTTGTTTAGGAAAGCAAGAGTTCTCTTTTGCATAGTGTTTCATTTTTTTCAGGTGAATCTGAAAAGATTAATCCTCATTTTTATATTTCTGTTTCAGTGAAATTGTTCATATACATAATATGTCTGAAATCCTTGGGTAGCCGTTTGTTATCACTGTTATACTCTATCCAAAATAGTTTATTTTAGGGTCAAATCTGTGCTTTATCTTTTGGGATTGTACTATAGTGTAGATAGAGTATAAAAACAGAAATAGCATACTGTGTGGTGTTTTGTTGCATGTCTGGTCTTATGCTCATTTTCTGTCCTCATAAATTACTTCTATTCTCTCTTTTGCAGGTTATATACATCTCCAAAGAAGAAACTGAATCCAGTGCAAAAAAGTGTCAGTCCATTAGTTTGGTGCAGACAGGTGTTGGATTACCCAAGTCCTGATGTTGAATGTGCTAAAAAATCACTGATCCACAAGCTGGAACAAACAATGTCGGGTGAGTTTCTGCACACTAAAACCACAGGGTTTTATATGTTTATTCTGAAACAGCATCAAAAATTGCTAATGGTTGTGACATAAGCCATCTATCAGTTACTTGTATCTAAAGCTTTCATTATGGTTTGCAAAGTTATTAATTCTACTCATTTTCTGGATCGTATGAATGAAATGAAAGAAGGCGTTAGATCATGAGTCATGATTTCAGAGTTTTATAATACTTGTTTGGTCTGATGTTTTCAGGAAAAAACAATGGTTTGAACTCCAAAGTCTTTTTTTTTTTTTTTTAAATAGAAGGCTGTATTAAGGTATCATAATTGCTAGATGTTTTGTCAGTATGTTAGCATGGAACTTGATTTTTTGCTAGATTATCTATTTTATTTAATATAAAGAAATGGAGGCTTAAGTTTTTGAATACTTTGGGGGGATGATAATGATTTATTTTCCTCCCACTCCCAGTAACTTATGATCTAGTTACACTCATATTTTTTTTTAAAAAGTTTGATTCCTTCTTAATACTAATTGGTTGGTTATATTCAAAACTGAAGACTGACTGATCCTGTGAGAATGAAAGTCTACATTCTCCATCCTTCCATTACCAGACTTTTTTATATCAAACCAGCAGCAAAATGCTGAAGGTCTGATTAGAATTCTCTGTTTCTTGCTTGTTTCTCGTTTCTCTCTGGTTTCTTGCTTTCTTTCGTTTCTTTGTTGGAGCCTATTTTTTTTTTGTTTTTTAATTATGCTGAGACAACTTATTTTCTTGCTATTAATAGCTATTTTTCTGCTGTTCCATCTTTTTGTAGTCTGCTACATGTTAAACTGTTATCTTCAGGAATTAGCAGAATGCTTGGACTTGAGAAAAGACTGTATGAATATGCAGCTCCAGGAGTAGTTCCAACAGCCACCTCCTTTCTATGGTTATACATAAACTTTGTCATGAGTTTATTTGACTGTAACTTCTTTCCCGTCCTTGTATTGTTTTCTGGAGAAATTCAGTCTTTATTCTGGCTTGTACTGAAATTGCTCTTAATAAAATTTAAATCCATTCTTTATTTTTATAAAAATCATGGGCATAATGGTGCAAGTGCCTTCAGCACGAGTCACCTTCAATCTTTTCCTATTTCTAGTGCTTTTTTATGCTGCCTATGCAAATGTCTATTTAAAATTTACCTGAACATTTAACACAATATATAGGTACATACAGACAAAGACTGAAATTTTAAACAAGAAAAATCACTCACATCAGAGGGGTTTATGAATTATGATACAGGCTTGGGCATCTGAATACTACTGAGTATTTATGAGTGGATAGCAGTTGATTGAAATTCTGTTTATGGTTTAACTTCTAGAACTGATTAGAAGTCTTCCAGAAATACCACAAATTCTGTTACCTGTAGGGCATCTTTGAAAATTTGTAGCTGAAGCAGAAGGGCAGGAAACTTCTCTGTGAAATGGACACATTTGAAAGTTTTATCATTCAAACTATGTGTTTAGGTAACTTCACCTTTTTTTTGTTTTCCCCTAGCCCTGTGAATCTTCTTCTGGCAGTGATACTTGAAAGAATACCACAATTCATCTGTAGTATTAATTGGTGGAAATACTAATGGTAGAAAAGATGGGCACATGCTGGTTGGAGCAGATTGCATATTAAAAATGAATTTTCAGCAAACCAGAAAATTGTCTTTTAGAGCAACCAGCCTTCTTTACAGAATAAGGGTAGCTGGGAGCTCCACTGGAAAAGACAAGTAGTGTTTCTTGTAACTTTGTGTGTATTTCCTATTCCAAACTTCAGGAGTATCATGTAACTTGAATTTTGCATAGTACTTGTACCTCGTGGACCGGTCACTTAACCTGTTACTAGCTGCTGGTTCAATTTATTGATTCTGGTTCCAGTGTCCATGGATAAGGCTTTTCACACTTCTGTAACTTTCCTGAATCCTTGGTGATGCTTGTTTTGCATTGACACTTTCTACATTGTTAGTTCCTGTTGTTAGGTCTTTCTAATATTACTGTCTTTTTCCTCTTTTTCAGTCTCAATTGCACTCTTGTATTTCACATTTTCTTCTTTCATCATATTTTCCATGCTTGACAATAAATGAGGGAAGAAGAGCTCTCAGCTCCATGGTATTGTTAGCAGTTACTGATGCACAGTGCCTTGTCAGCAGTCAGGTTTACAATTGCAGAGCAAGTCATGCTTAGTGTTGGAAGTGTGTTCAGACTAGGAGGAACTTTAGGTATATTCTGCACTCAAATTTTCTTACTTTCTGCAACAAAAGAGAAATTCATGACCATTTCAGCAAAATCATAGCTAAAAGGAGTTAGATGCTACATAGTGTTTCTGAATCTTATAAAAGAAAATGTACATTAAAATAAACTTGTTTATTATCAACCCTCCCTTTTGATGTTTTGAAAGCTAATGTTTAATCTTTTGTAAGCTAGTGTTTAATCTAATATTAGGATCATTTTAATGCTAAAATGATTATCTGTCTTGTTAATTTTGTCTGACACTCCTAATAAGGACTGTATCTCGATTTGTAAAAATAGCAATGTCTTCTTGAGTTACAGAAATCCCAGTTGGAAAACCTGTAGGAGTTCTGGTCTAGAAAATGGGTTTGAATCCAGATTTTTTTTTTTCCGGGAAACTGTACTGTGCTGAAGAAGGCTAACATTAGCTAGGATGAAAACTACTGTATGTATCAAGTCTCACCACATACAGGAATAAGCTTTTTACATGTAGCAAAATCATGCTAAGTTTCATTCCAAAAAAAATCTGTGTATGATCAAATACTTTGTATCATCATGGAAGTATACAAAGAGCCTGTTTTGAAGACTATACAGTAGTAGAATTGTTTTCTAATTTGTAGTTAGTACTTTAAAATACTTGTCTGTTTAGTAAATACAAGAACTGTTGTGCAGACTTATATTTTAGGGATTTTTAATGACGTTTTTGGCAAGAGATGAAAAGTAAATGTTTTTTGTGTGTGAGAACAAAGATTCAATTAGAATAGATGCTTTGGGGTTCCTTTGTGAATGCCAGAAGTTGATATCAAAGGCCTCATCATGCTTACCCAGAACAGAGTGACTTGTAATTACTGGTTTTGTTTACTGAGCTTTGTAATAAAATGGAGGTTTTCACTTCTGACACTCAAAATAAACTGAAGATACCTCGTGAATACTTCCTAGAATTCAGTGAATTCACAAATTGCTCAAATTGACACATATTGTTTAAGACTTGCAGTGAAAGCTGGAATATAAACCTTTCACTCTTCATCTATAACTGTCTTTTCTTTCTAACCAAAACACTGGTCATATTAACTGGTTTAGAAAGGATCTTTATACGAGATGCAGTTTTGGGAATTTGCTGCAAAGTCAGCTTTAATTTCTGCCGCTTTTGCCTCTGTGTTGCATTCTGCCATTGGCTAAGTTGTATGATACCTTTTTTGGGGGGCACTCTTAAAAACAATTAAGTGATGCAATCAGTTAAAATACTGATATTTTTTAACTGAAATCTGCTTTAGTAGGTCAGATGACAGTGCAGCCCCACCAGTGTTTGCACTGGACAACTGATAATGTAGTGACCAAGAATGAAGGGGAGAAGCTGAAGCTCTGTTGCTGAGAGCAGCATTTCATGCATTTGTAGTCTCTTTTGGCTTCTAATGTCAAAGCAGCAATGATTTTTAGTAAGCAGATTTGGGTTCAGTTGCTTTTTGGTTTTTTTTTTCTGTCCACTGCTATCAGTAGCCTAATTCTTACTGCACTCACTGAAACCCCTTTTCACTACGAGAAATGTCACACAATGTTTTTTAATAGCTTACTTTCAACAGCTAGGTGAGCTGTAACTAAATCTAATCTGGATTTGCATAACATCAAGTTGGGATTTCTAGCTTTTTCATCTTAACATTTTGCAATTTAATTTGTTCTTATATACATTTCTGCATAAGTATATTTCCAGCAGTGAAGGAACTGTAGCAAAAGTGTCTAAATATCTTTTGGATTCCACTACCCCTTGTTGAAATTCCATTTTCTGTTATATTTAAAATGTAAACTTTTGAACAAAATAGTCAAGTAACTAAACAAATAATACACCTGACAACCAGTGGAATTTCAGTATCATACTGTTCACCACTGTTAATGTTTACCAGTGTTTAAAATTCATCTGAAAATACTTCAGCATTGAAACATGTACAATAAATGGCAGAAGAAAGTACCCAATTTAGTTCTTATATTGCATATGAGGCTGAAGCCTATGGTCAAAAAATCCCAAGTCATTGGAACAGAAGATTAACGGTAGGAAATAGTCAATTTGCTTTAGTCTGGTAGGTTCATGGTACCTACAAATCTAAACAGAAGCATTTGCTTTACTTAATGATTTTTCACTTTAGCATATGCTTATGGAAACTTTGTAGGCGATATTGCTTGGTTGTGTGGTCCCAGTCTTGGGGTTACTGTAGAAGTATTGTGTGATTCAGACAGGTCTGAGAGTTCTGAGAATGTGACTTCATGGTGTGCTCTGGTTTCTATGTGGCTGTGTATAGGGTGTATGTTAGTGTAACAGCTACTACTGCCTTCCTGCTTCCCACCACCTACACTGGACATCTCAAAGACCTCAGCTATAGTGATCTTAGATCTGACTTCTTAAAGGAAAACACTTGTCACTATCTTGTCTTGCCCTCTTCTCTCACTCTTTCCACATCATGGTTCTATCTAGGGGTGAAGAAAGCAGTGGGAAAACTTCCTGGTGACTGAAGTTTTCTCCTTGAACTGCATAGTAATTAAATCACAGTGAAGACATACTATAGTACTGTATTTGTTTTTCATCGATTCATTCAGTATAATTCATCACGTTTCCTCTTTCCTGCAGCTCTCAAGAGACAGAGTTTGTACAGCAGCCCTTTCAGTGCGGTCAGTTACGCGAGCTCCTACAGTCCAAATACTGGTAGCCCCTACAGCAGTGGCTTCAACTCTCCCTCCTCAACACCAGTGAAATCTGCTTTAGTAAAACAGCTCATACCTTCTGGTACCTCAGGTAAGTCACTGTGTGTCTGGTCTTTTCCTTTCTTCCTCCTCTTCCTTTCATAAACTTGCTCAGATGGACAACATTTGCATCAAACTAGAGTAAGAAAGACTCAAAAACTTTTCAGTGTCTTGTAGGATATGTGAATCATACAGTATTTAAGCTTTTTAGGAAGGGCTTTTTTCTGGAGTGAGAAACAAAAATGTTTTCTTTGGGTGTCTGTGTCCCAAAAATCACTGATATATGTGATTAGCTGTTAGACAAAACACACAGAGCTCATTCTGTAGAGTTCCAGGTGGCTTCTGGAACTGACCCTGTAATTGACAGGGGTGTAAGTTCCATGGTAGGTGTTCAAAGGTTAGGGGTTGGTAGTTGTGAAGTATTTTCAGTTATCCTGTTGTTCACTAACTGAAACATTTGGTATGTGCATGCATTCCAGTTAAGTATTCCATGAGATTTTGTAGCCATCAGTGTAAACATTAACTGCTGGCAATGTTTTCTACTTTTATTCTGCACTGTAGACACTTTCTTTGCATGAGAAAAATGGGTGCCTGGAATGTATCTCTACTCTGAAGTTAAACTGTTGGCTTATTGTATATAATTTAATTTAAGTTAGTTTACAGGGAAGGTGAAAAAACATTGCATTGACAATCCAGCTATCACTAGTTCACTGTGGACTTTGACAGAAGCCACCACTGCATGAGAGCCATTACCCAGTTTTTGGTTTAATCTCAGTAGCTACTGTTCTGCATTGTGTGCTACAATGACATATCTGCCTGGGAGACAGAGATGTAACAGGCAATGGGGGTACCATCCAGAAGGCAGCAAACAGGAAGAGTTTTTCCTTGTTAGTTTCCATGTTACAATTTAGCAAAAGTGTGTGTGGAACTGGTAGTGTTTTCAGGTGAAGTATGTTTTAAGCATTCCAAACCGAATCAGTTTTCATTGGATCAGCAAATCCTTACTGTTAAGAAAGATTCAGTCAAACTTATGTCTTACAAGGTAGTATAGAGAGGTGAGAATGAAAGCACAGATGGAACCAGGTATGCAGTTGCTTTTTTTGTAGAGCTGTTCAAACTTCATAGCAGTTAGAACGTGCTGTGATAGACCAAATTATTTACCACTGATTTGTTTTGACACTATTGCAATGATTTTATGAAGTTGCCCGTTTTTAGACAGTAATGGCTAAGCTCTGCTTTTTCGAGGCATATTTTCAGCCTAGCTTTGCAATAAAATAATCACATGTTTCAAATGGTCTGTCAGATCAATGTCTCAGTAGCAGTTTTTATTAAGAAAGGAAATGCAGCTAATGCAGCTTGCCCTTTTTTTTTTTTTTTTCTTCAATAACAACAATTCCTGTTACTTTATTTTCTTTCCATAGGTCATCTTAAAATTTCAGGAGATAGAAATCCTCCACTAAGTCCACAGTCTTCTCTGGACAGTGAATTAAGTGCATCGGAGATGGATGAAGACTCTATTGGGTCTAATTACAAGTTAAATGATGTTACAGATGTGCAAATTTTAGCACGAATGCAGGAAGAAAGTAAGTGGGATTTTTTTCTGAAATCAAAGTGGAGCTGTTGTTTTGGGTTTTTTTTTAACTGAATAACTGCAGTAGCACTTGTTTAGTGCTATGGAAAGTATGGAAAAGGGGTATAAATTCTACTATGGATGTACAAATGTAGTTCACCCAAGAAAGCTGGTTAAGGACTTCAGGCTGAGGAAAGGAAGTTACTGTACAGATTTCTTTAGGAACAATGGACAAAACAATGTGGGAGAGTATGAGTTTGTAAGGTACAGTATTTACTAAAAGGAAGAATGGACTACACTACCATCATTCTTCTCAGGAGATTGGTGCCTTCCTGATGTAATCCAGCCTTGTTCACATCAGTGATTAAACCATGATTTAAATCACCAAAATGTAAAGTTAATATGGCAAAGAATAGTTAAGAAAAGTACCTGTATACATGTCTGTCTTTCATTATAGCTTTAGCTGACACTGTCTTTTTGTCCCTCTGAATTTGCAGAAAGTGGTAATAATTTTGGTCATCTAACTAGGAGGTCTCCAGACTATTTTATGTTTGTGAAAAAAACCAAAACCAAATGCCCAATATATGTACTTTTACTGTAATGTATAGCATACACTAAAGTACACAAATATACACTAAATTATAATTTTAAAAAGTATGAGATAAAGACAAGGTAAATGCTGTTTTAAAAATACTAGTTGTTCAGAATTTTCTTGCTGTATGCCAGTGGATTGGTTTGCATATCCCTGGGAGTGTGGGCACCACACTTCAGAGACCATTGATCTAACACCTCCAGTTTCTCTAGAAGTATAGCTTATTGTGTTGCTTTTTTGGCTAGATTCACTAATACATTGCAAAAGACGTTTCATTAAGGCTGCTGTAATTGTTCCAGGATGTTACTTGATACCAAAATTATGATGTAGCCTGTGTTTCTAGTTCCAGCCTGGGAGAGGAGATGAACAAGTACATGCACAACACACCTATAACTGGTGATTGCTTTACTGAGAAAGGGAATGAACTCACCTACTTATTTCAAGGCATTATTAGCTGGTAGATAATTTGGTACTAATTAGAATTTATTTAATGCCTCCAATAACAGGAATTAAGGTGAGCTGAATTAGAGTTTGAGAACTGTGCAGATATTTGTGTGCGCTGTCTCTAGTTGGAACCATTTGTGGGCTGGAAGCAAGTAAACAACATTCTTCTTGTTACCAGGCCTGCGGCAAGAGTACGCAGCCACAGCTTCTCGGCGTAGTTCTGGCTCCTCTTGCAATTCCACCCGGCGAGGCACGTTCAGCGACCAGGAGCTTGATGCACAGAGCTTAGAAGATGAGGAAGATGGCACACATCACACAGTGCACCCTGCTGTTAGCAGGTTCTCACCATCACCTCGCAGTTCTCCCTGGCCTTCACCAAAACAATCTCCAAGAAATTCACCTCGCTCCCGATCACCTGCTCGAAGCATAGAGTACAGCAGGGTGTCACCACAGCCTATGATAAGCCGTTTACAGCAACCTCGTCTTTCGCTTCAAGGCCATCCGACAGACTTGCAAACTAGTAATGTCAAAAGTGAAGGTAAAAAACTGCATGAAATTGATTACATGTGTAGTTGTGTAGTTTCTGTAAAGGAGCTCTGTCAGTGTGCAGTCCTAAAACTGTGCATGTGCAACATCGTGGTTTAATCTCTGAATTGCTGAAGAAAATGCGGAGCAAGCAAAGCTTAAGTCCTGCTGGGGCACCCTTTAGTCAAATTATGAGGTTGATAGACTTGTATTTATTTTAGATGTTATCCAGTCAATGAGTATAGTTGAGTTTCATAGTGACCAAGGTCTATATTTGGCAGGCAAATGCACTAAAATAAAGCAGGGAAACTAACTTACTAGTAGAGTTAGGCCTTGCAGATAACAAAATGCAGAGGAAAGTAACTGTGGTCAGATAAGAGTAACATGGTGATTTATGAATGCCTCTAGCCTGTGAGGCTAGAATGCCTCACAGATGAAATTGCAGAAGAAGCTGAATTATTTCTTTTGGTTGCACAGGAATCTTACAGCATTTCAATCATGAACATAGTCCTAAAAACATCAGTACTTAACTCATGCATTTGTTGCACATTTTAGAAACCTCAAAGCTGTGAAAACTGCATAATAAAGTTTGCAGTAAATTCAGTGCAGTTATGCTATATTGGCATAGAACAAAATAATACAATCCTGATACAATTTTTCTTCTTTAATGTACTTTTTCCTGGTAGCAATCTGGCAGAAACTCATTTTACTGGGATGAAATTTTGCAAGCAAATTCCCATTTCAATAAATGTAGGTTGTTTTATCCAGCAAATAAGATTTTAAATTTAGAAAGAATCTACATTTAGATACTAAGAATTCTCCTTATAAGTAATAGTGGCTTGGGGAAATTTTAGGTATCTTGGAAAATGTGCAACACAAAAGCTAATCAATCATAGTGTGACTTAATCAAGAACTCTTTTCCCATTCATTTCTTAAAATGAAAGTCTTAATGTGTGCTAGATGAGCTACAATAAAAATACCCTATGAGAGGAATGGTACCAACTGCTAGTATCCCACATACCAGAGGGATCAAAATAGAGTGTGTGATCATGTGTTTCTGAAACACTTCCAAGAAATTATCTTGCAGTGGTTTTTGTGCAGTTGAGTGTTGCTTGGATATTCAGAGTTGGTACAGTAGCAGTCAGAAAAAGTTGTTTAGGTTTTCGCTTCTGTTTTTGTCTAGAATGGTTGGAGGGAAATTTGCTTGACAGGGTTCAACAAAGTACTGAGTGCAGTGCAAAGCAATGCAAACTGCTAAGTGAAGAGAGTACACTTGTTGGAATATTCAGCCAATGAAGATTTAGTTTTGTTTTCACCTTTAGTGCTTGTGCATGATTAACCTATCTCTTCCCTGCATCCATCTGCAGAATCAGGTTGGTCACTCATCCTGTCAAGACATCTTCAGTCTTCTATCCAAAGTATGTCATCAACCCAGCTCAGCATGGGTTGGAGATATGCAGAATGTCATTAGACTTGAGAAGTACTTAATGGCATCTTTTCATGTTCTGTGAACAGTGGTACAAATATTAGAAGGTTCCTGAAGTATCAGCATTAGCTGAGTAGATAAGTCAAGTCATATGTGAAAGATGAAGCATAACTGGATACTTCAATGATTTTGAATGCTGCGTATTATGAGGCCCTTTCCAAGACAGTGGCCGTTTTTTGTTCTATAATGGACTGATACGGAACAAGGCAGTCTGAAAAATTTACTCAAACATCTATGTTGTTTTTACTCTTCAGGCAAGCATTTCATTACAAATAACTTTCTAGGTAAATAATTTGAAAACTGTGCAAAACTGCAGATTAGGTTTGTCTGTTTAGCTTTGATAATAGTACAATAAAACCCAGAGAATCACAATCCAGATATGTTTCAATTTCAGAACACAATATGCTTGACTTTTTTCACCATAGGTGAAAAAAGGTGTAAATTCTTACTTTTTTAGATACATACATTTTTTGTATGTGATAGATTTGAGAAGAGGTAATGTAATGAAATACACTTTTAAATTGCAATGTAGTTTTATATGGCTAACATTTTGTGTCACTTAGATTTGGGGTTCAACTATGGGTTTGCAACCTGACCTTATCCAGCATCAGACTACACACTGGGTATCTTTGTATTATTTCATACAGAAAAACTAAGGCGTAGTCTTCCAAACTTGTCCAGAACATCTAACATCCAAGCTGAGTCTGTGAAAAACAGCAGAAGTGACTCAAACTTCCAAGTGCCAAATGGAGGAATACCTCGCATTCAACCTCAAGCCTCAGCCAGTAAGTACCTTTACTGCTACTTCAGTGTAAATTTCAGAATTAAGTGATGGTGTTCAGCTGTCTTCCAGTCTCAGGGTAAAGCAAAACACTGCATGCCACACTGGAGATGCTAATCTTGATTTTTAATCAGACTTTTGTGAATCTGTTTTTATGGCATACATAATACTCAAAAATGTCTGATTTCTTATTAAGGTATCATTCATAGTTTCCTAGAAGTGTGTATGTAGAAGTAATATAAAGAATATAAATACAGTATTTGGGCATGTCAGAAACTTTTATTTCTAGGTTCTGAAAAAATACCTAGATGATGTTTATTGCTTTTTTTTTAAACTAGTGAAAAATGACCTGAAAGTGTTCATTTCAGTTTAACCCCTTAGGTTAGCCCATGTCTGCAGTTTCTTCAGTTTCTTTCCTTCTTTTTTACTTCAAGTGTCAGTTACTTCCTAAAAGAGGTTTGGATGAACCTTTTACTCACAAAACATATTAGCCCATTGCTGGAATCCTGCTTTCCTAGTTTCTACAAAAGTTAACTGCTGATATGCAAATGCTGCTATTCTCACAAATCTCTTGAAAATGGTGACCTTAAAGAAGCCAAAGCAAATGAAAATTAAATATTCAGTGTTTCTTTATATGTCAGTATTGCCAGTTCCTGTTGTTTAAATGTTTCCTGACCATTTCTTTTAAAACGAGTTTCTGAATTTAATAACATTGTGTGACATTTTCAAGGGAAGAACATATAATGAATATTTTTATGTGTAGACCTTTGAACTGTAAACATTCTGTGATAAAGATTCATCAGTAATTAAATATTTGACAGGAAAAGTTAAAATAATGCTCGTGAATTTAACTAGGTGTATTCTACCTATAGAACAGTGAAGGCATAGTGGCATACCTAGTTGGTTGTCTAAAATTTCCTAAACAATGTGTTAAATCTACCAAGTAGAGTTAAATACAGAATAAGGAACAGAGACCATGCCAAAGACTCCAAGATTTATGTCTTTGTAGAGACTCAGAGCAGATGTAAGGATTGTGTGGACAGCCAGTCCAAAGTGTGGGCTACTGTAGCACATAGAAGTTAGTGGGACTTTACCATTGTTCATACAAGTTACTCAAGCATCTTTTCACCTTGGTCCTCTTCTTCCACCTTTCACACTCAGAAGGTGGAATTTCCAGCTGAAAGGATATTTGTGTAGCTCAAATGCACAACTGTTACCTGTTAGGCAGGCTTATCAAACTATAAAGCGTTCAGAGCAGCTGGACAGCTGGTCCACAGCTGAGCTATTTCAGTGATAGGAAGAATTATCAAAATTAACAGAAAGAAAATGAATGAAAAAAGAATTCCAGTAAAAATCTCTACAGATTTTATTTGGTGCTTTAGAATTGAGTAAACTGGGAAGGGAAGAGCTTAGAGAGCAACTTAGCTAGAAGTCTGTTTCTAGAATTAAAAGTATTTTCATGGTTAAACTTTCTGGAGAAGTCTCAGTATTCAATATTTAGTCAATTATTTCATTGCAGGAGCCAAAGTGGTGTGATTATGTTTATATTTCTTTTTTTCAACTTGTGGATGCATTAAGAATTACTAGGTAAATTTGCTTTTCTTTCATAGACTATTTCCCCAAATGTGAACCACTTTAGACCAACTTACATTGTAAATGTAAGTTAAGTATCATTAATAAAGGCCAGATTTCTAGCTTTTACAGTTTCCCTGCTCTTACAGATGTTTGTCAGAGTCTTGCTATTGACAATCGTAAAACGGTTTGTGTGTGAAGTCAATGAGTAAGTATCTTTGCTTAGTCTGGATTAAAAAATTTTCTGCAAAACTGTACACTGTATAAAGATTTCCAGAATTGTGTCCTTTTTATTGTATACTTTTTGTTTTATTGGTTTTATATTTTGTCACTTTGCACAAAGCACTGTTAAATTGCAGCAAATTTTTGTTTTCCCTTGGCAATGATTTCTGGGTCTTGGGATTTGAAGCTTCCTCATACACCTGCTAGTTTTGCATGAGCTTACCTTTGCGAGGATGCTGGCTTGCCACCTGAAGTCACTACTTTGCTCCTTGTCAAAGATTTGCGGTTCATAATTTACTTGCACATTTGCTGTGGCTGCAATACTGAACTTGCTATGGTTGCTGGCATTCAAAAATGAGCTAGGAATCCAGTAAGTTTCTGAAATGACAATTCCTGTAACACTTTTATAGCCAAATTGTATTTGCTAGCTTACAGAAGAGAGGGAAGACACGTATGTGTTTTGATGTACAACTGTAAACATGAAAACATTGGCAATTTAACTTTCAGCTGCAATGTGGTGAACAATCCAAATTGTTTTTGAAAAGAGACTGAATTAAATAGCAGTTATAACAATGTGAATCTTTGTTTACATCTGATTCTCCATGCCATTCTGCAGAAAGTACTTTTTTTTACTATGAAAGCTAGTAAATATTTCACCTTAAAACACTGGGAGATACGATAATGTGTGTTCCCCAAGGAATAGGTGTTGTATGCAGTGTTAGCGATGGGAAATCTCTGTATCTGGGTCCTATACCACATAGATTTTACAAAGCTCTAGAAGTTGTAGGGTGGCTTCTGTGCAGGAGCTACCTGCTTTTGGATTCTGTGTAATGCTTTTGTACTTAGTAGCACTACCAGCACATGGATCCTTTTCAGAAGGGCTAAATACAAAATTTTCTTGAAGAGCTGTAGATTCTTCAAACTGTCAATAAAGTGACTGGTCTGCTTGCCAAGTTCCAATTGCTTGGCATGTTCAGCGTAAAAGGAGGAAGAGTAAATCTTGAAGAAACCAAGTAGTCCAGTTCAGTTGATCAGAAGTGTAACTACATGTGTTCAGCATGCAGCCTTTGTGACAGGGAATGTCACAGCACACAGAGCACTTCAAAAGCAGCAAGTGGTGCGGATAAACATGCACTGAGCGCTTATCTCAAACTGCATGTTTGCTCAGCATTGCTCAAATTGTACTGCCTAAGCTCTTTTCAGTGTTTCAGTGCACAGAAATGTTTTGCTATTGAGTGTCTATTTCGTGGAGTCTCCATTGAGAAGGAAGGAATTTGATATATACATATTTAAAATCCTTTCCATATCATTCCATATCTCTGACTTACAAGAAGTGTGAATAGTGATGGGGGAATAAAGTGCCATGTAGAGTAGCGTATTGAAATCTGAGTGGATTAGGACAAAATAAATTCAAAATATGAAGGAAGAAGCTTTTCTTCATTTTGTATGGTATAACAAAAACAGTGATTCAGTAAAAAATAATAAAGTGGAATACTTGAGGACTGAAGCAGTCTGACCAGTGGTCTGCCTCAGTAAATTTCTAGGAATTGTGCTCATATTTAGAGACCTTACTGTGCTTAATTGGCTGTTCATATGTGTACTTTAAAAAAAGTTTCTAGGAAGACCATGTACCATTTGAGTAAGAATTATATATTGCCACAGGCTATTTTGCATTAGATTCCAATTGATAGAAGGAATAAGGTTTTTATTAGTAGTAGGCACAGGCAGAATTTTACTGTGTTTATGAACAATCTAATTCCTTTTTACTGTTTGTTGAACATGACAATTTTTAGTTAGTTATTAAGACTAAATTGAATAGACTGCCTAGTCATAGTTTCAGCATGATGTTAAAACACCTGAAGAATTTTTTATAGTTCATAAAATACTGTGTATTTTGCATTGACTGAAGCACAGGAAAGGTGATAGTAATCATTACATGCTATCAAACAAAAGGATTAACTAATACTAGGATTCAAATTGTTCCCCCCCACCTTCTTTATAGCGCTATTCAGTAATTGGTGATGGGATTGTTCCTTATTCAGGGTCAGGGTCTTTTTGCACAGCTTCTCCTCCATCTTTCTTCCTTCTCACTATGGAAATAAGCCTTGCTAGTGCAATCAGTTTTACGCTGGTATAAAACTTCATACACCAAGATAAGCAGAGATGTTTATTCATATGTTATCATTTTACAAAGTCTCTGTGTAGTCAAAGCTTTATTTCATTGACTACTTTCCTCCTTCCTCCCCTTAAAAGTGCTGCCATGAAATAGGCTGAGTCAATGCATTCCTTCTGGCAATAAGTAATTCTCTCCATGCCAAGATTCTGCAGCTTTCGGAACATTGGCTTCTCTCTTGGTAACTGGTAGGTAGTGAGGTCATTTCAAGGCAGTACCAGCCCTTGAATGTTACTAGACAAAAGGCAGGACAAGGAAGCAAAGGACCAATAAAAACAAATCTCCATCATGCTGTGTACATGCTGGCAGCTGGTAAATCTTAGTGTTAAGTCTTCATTTTAAGCTTAAGTCCTCTTGCATTTTTCTTTTACCCCCTTAAAGAGGGTAGAAAGAAGACAGTCTCTCAAGAAGGCTTAAGTTTCCATAGGTGAAGCATACAATTTGTTTATATGATGACCATATTAGATGAATATTTATGCTTTTGTATCGTATTACAACATTTTCTTGAAAACAATTAAAATGAAAAATTTACTCCTGCTAGGTCAAATACAACAGTTTGATTTTCATCTTCGTCTCTAATCTTGCTCTCATATTGCTGTAGCATGTTCGCTAGGTGGCTTGTTCTCCCTTTGGTGTTTTAATTTTTGTTTTGCATTTCTGGGCTTTTTGCCCTGCAAGGAGCTTTACTCTTACCAAATCTGCGCATTTTGCACTGCAAAATTTCTGACACACTCCTCTGTAACTCTTTGCCATTAAGAGCAAGCGCCATTCACAAAACTCCATCACTTCCAGAGTCATAACAGCTTTTTGAGTGTTTTACTCACACTGTTCCTTGACGCTTCACAAGTGGATACAATTCTGAAATTCCCAGTAAATTTAGTTTTCTTATCTTCTTAGACAAATATAACACTTCTTGTCTTTCAACAGCTCTGCAAAGGCAGAAAAATTTGCCTCGTGCTGCCTTCAAAACCAAACAGTTTCTTCAAACTCCATCTGCAAAAGGAGGTAATTAACTTACAACCTCTTATCAAGCTCCAGCAAATCTCAAATAATGGTTCGCCTGCATTAAATCTCACATGTTCTAGATTAATAAACTTGCTCTTGCAATTACTGTACAGATTAACCAAGTGGTCCTTGCTGTATGAAAGTTAACTTCTTCGTCTAAATATTAAAAATAAACTCTGTGTTATATAGGGGTTTGAGTTTTGAGATAAAAGTCCAAGGAACAGTGACTTTCTAACATTAATCAGGAAATATGGATTAGAAAAGTAGACTCCTAAATGCATATTCACTAAGGCTATGTTTGTATAGGAATTTCTTTAATTGCAAATTACAATTTTGAAAACAAAAAGTTGTAAAGATAGTCATACAATCCTTTGTGCTGGGAACAAAAGCTAACAAATATATCCTTGAAAAGATGAGTGTAGACTATCAATTTATTTTGCATGTACTTGTGCTTTCCCTTTTCCTCACAAAACCAGAAGGTTAATCCTAACATAGATGAATTAAGGTTTTTTGACTCAAGGAATTAGAGACTCTTGTGTATAATATTCCAGTTTCCTAATGGCTGAATTTGCTGAGCTTTTTTGGGTTTTTTTAAGTAAAATTAAATATTGAGTCTCTAATCAAATTAAACAGTTTAATCTGATTTTTAATCAGTTCTGGCAGCCTTATATGTGACACTGCCTCAGTTTCACAGTTAAGGTAAACAATGATTCTGGTTTTAAGCATTGTTGGTCTGTTGTCTATTACAATCAAGAAGATCTCATTTTAAAATCATATTACACTTGAGACTAATTCATAAGCTTGTAGATGCTAGAATCCTTTAAGCGTTGTGAGAGTCTTTGGTGCAGACATGAGGGGCTGACAGAATGTCCGTGTTTCTCTTGGGGGTTTAACAATGTCAACCCCTTAGAGTCATCTTCATGCCATGCAGAAAATTTTAGTGAAGTATGATGACTGTGAAACAGATTCACATGTCTTAAGAGGAAGTCTCTTAACAGTTTTCATACTTCATACAAGATAAAATTCTCATAATGTTATGCTTTGCATAAGACCACCATTGCTATTCCTCTGCAGAGCTTTCTTTGCTTTCTTTCCAGTTGGTCATGCCTTCTCTAGATCTGGAGCACTTATTTTTGACTTAGGTCAATGGCCTAGTCTGAACTGTAGGAATGTACAAAAAATCAGTTTTTCTTTGAGTTTATATTATTTGTAAAAAATTTATTAAACCTTAGAGAATGAGGAACAGAGCACATTGTGCTGCCAGTTACATGTTCCAGTTTATGGCTGTTGTCATTCCTTACTGCAAATGAGGACCCTTTCAGTTACTTGCTTTGTCTTTTTCAGTTATTTGCTATTTATAGCCCTTAATGTGTTGGTTTTCTTTCTTCTGATCTGAGTTCCTCATGAATATAGAAGTATTTAGCAGAAACGAAGCAAGACTTTTCAGAGAAATGAAAAGCTGAGCATCAGTTGATTTTACCTTTTAAAAATACTGTTCATTACATAGCTTGACACCTTCCACACACACATTGACTTTTTTTTTACCACTTTGTGGTAATATCTCCCCAGTGCCTTCTCTTCTCCAAGCTGAAGACCTCCACATCTCTCAACCTTTCTTTATAGGAGAGTTGGTCATCCATGTTCTGTACCTGCTCCAACACGTCCACATCTTTCCTGTACTGAGATGACAGATCAGTTTATTGATTCCTATAGTTAGACTTCATATGTTCTTTCATGTTGGGCTGATTCATCTCATCATGATGGTTGTGATTTAACAACTGCATTAGAATTTAATCTGTTTTCAAGTTGGTGTGCAGCAGCTGGCCTTGGATTGCAAGCCAAATAAGTTTGCAGCTTCACAGCATCCTACTTTGCCACATGGAGATCTCGTGCTCCCTGCCCACAATCCAGGACAGAATCCAGAGAGGGTAGGACATCTAAATGTCATGACTGCACCATGCCTTTTTTTTTTTTTTTTTTTTTTTTTCCCAGATGTTTTAGTTGTAGTTGTTTCTAGTTTACTTTATAAGGAGATTGAGTTGTGTAAAGTTATTAAGCACTACCCTTACACGTTTACATGCTTTTGTTAAACATCATCTAAATACTATATGTGGGTATGCAGTTATCAAATAGTCTGTGGGGCAGTACCTCACTCTTTGTGATCCTGTCTTACAGATAAGCCACCTGACTATAATGAATATCCAAAACTGTTCTGAGTCCTAATTCTTTATCTGTAGAACAGAATTATTAGACAGTTTGCCAGACTGCATCATGCTGACTGCTCTGGAAGACAATGCATTCCTTTATGTACAAGAATGAATACAGCTCTCAGCAATGTCTGCAATGCTGTGCTGACAGGAAATGTTTTATGAATTGACAGCTCAAGTTTGCAGCATGGTAAAATATGGTCAGCAGAAGGTTAAAGAGAATGAAGAAGACTTATTTACTGCATCCTTACTTCTGCTGGGAATGTGACAAGCTTTCTTCCGTTGCAACTTTTTGTTGCTTATATTCTGTACCTAAAAACCTTTTCCCTGTTGTGCCTGTAAGAGGCCCAAAGCTGTATTCAGTTTTTATACACTGGCATTTCTCTGTTGGTAGCTGCTAGCATGATCCTGTGTTGTGTTCCAGGCATTGTAATGAGGAGTTCAGTGATAAAAGCTCCCAATATTTACACTGTAGAGTCACTTGGAAATTCTGCAGATTTGATTGCATCGATATTAACAGGCGAGGTTATGTTTAAAAAACTTAGTATAATCTATCTTAGTCCTAGGAGCACTTGGATGCTCTTCTTGTCCAGTCATTCTGTTGCTAATGCTTTCCTTAATCCATACTCTGGCTTGATGCCAGCTTTTATTTTAAGGTTTTTTACTTAATCTCCCTGCCGCTTAGCAACTGTCATGTGTTTTTGACCTCTCTGTCACCTTTTCTTGTCAGCTTTTCCCATGAGCAGCTTCATGCTGTGTTTGATATTGCTATCAGGGGAAAGGCCCCCTTGGGTAATCCAGAAAGGAATCAAATCCAGTTCACATCTTAATGAGGTACATATTAATCTTCCTAGACATCCCCTGTAAGAAACAGCTTCAAAATGCAATCTCAAAATTACCAGTTTCTCTGTACCCCATTTAGGATGCTACATTCCTGCATTACTTGTCTCCATTCTCAGTCCTTATGTTCTTACTTGATCTACCTTGAAAATTATAATAAAAGCTGTGTTAAGGACCAGCTTCTTTATGTACAACATCTGTCAAAAATGATACAACTTTGGTCTCGGTATAAAACATTTATTTAGTAGAGGAAAGAATAGTTTATGCAAATTTACTAAATGTAAACACATTTTCATTACGTGATTGATTGGAACACCCTGTGTTGACTCTTACTGACCCACCCTAATCAGTTTCAAAAGCTGGTGAAATTTCATTCCATTACTAAGATTATGGGTTAATTTAAGTATTCTGTTCAGTGATAAATTATGCATAATTTGTAAACATTCCTCATACTTGTGAAGAATTATGCGTAAGGTTTGGCATTATTAAAGGACTGTTGAATATTTTGCCTTACTAACCTATCCCAGAAAGGACTTGAAAACAAAACCTAGCCTACTAACTCAGGTACAAAGTACTAGAAAACAGGTATTAGTTATAAACAGATATTTAGTTATACGGATAATTTATGTAATGTTTGTAGGAAGAGGAAGGCTATAAATTGTTATGAGTTGTCTGGTGTAAGTTTCATAGCAGCACCTTAACATCTTTGGTGTTGGGGGTTGGCTGATGTCATCCTTAATCCTAACTACAGCATTATACCAGTTGCTAGGAAGAAAATTAACTCTTTCCCAGCTGAAACCAGGACAGCTGACCCCATCTTTTTTTTTTTTTCCATCTGCCAGAAAAAGTGGTATGTAACCGTATCTTTAGATGAATTGTAATTCAGTGGTTAAAAAGAACAGCATAAAATAAATACCAGGATGCTCTATGCTCAAAATTTCATCACTGAAGGCTAATAAACACTTTTAATCTATTTAAAGCCTGTGTCACACGAATACTGTATTCTCCAACACGTTCTTTCACAGATGGGAATTAAGTTCACTTGTTTCTGAAGCAGTTAAATTTCTTCTTAAGAAATACCTTCTTCTCTGTTTGTTTTTTTACTTCACTGATACAACAGTTACAGCCTGATTAGGATTACTTACAAATCCAAATAAATATTTGTAGTAAACAAAGAGGGCATTAGAGTTATGATATCAAAAACACATGACAAAGATGACATCTGAATTCCTGTTTCTCATTGCTGCTTGATTGGCTGTATTCCATTATACATTCCATATTGTTTGTATAATCACATAAAGTAATTTCCAGTTTTTAATTTCAGTAATATTGTAACATCAGCTGAAAGTAATTTCTGTATTTTCCAGTACCTTCTTCGAGTAAATTCCGCTCGCCTGCGGCACCGTCTCCCCTAGCTCTCCGACAACCAGTGAAAGCGTTCAGTAACCACGGACCCAGCTCGGTTGCCTCTCCAGAAGCCGCACAGCTGACGCACAGTAGTTCTTCCCCAGGGCCTCTTGCAGCCCAGAGCTCAGGCTTGCCGAGCCCTGCCAGCAGTATTAATAGTACTACTCTTACCAGACCAGCAGGGATGAGGAGTGGTTTGCCCAGACCCAGTGCCCCTTCCACAGGGGGCATCCCAGTGCCTCGCAGCAAACTTGCACAGCCTGTTCGCAGGTGAGTCTCTGACAGGTAGTCTTAGGTTGAAGTTTTCAAAATTAATTTTGTACACTGTGTGTTTGTACTGCTTCTTCTTCCAATTTTACTTTGATCTCAAGATCTTCAGAACAGAAATGGAGATCTCCACGTGAAGTGTTTCTAAAATAGTTTTGAATCCAAACTGAGAGATAAAGGCTCTTGAGAGAGTGAAGGTGAATGAGTGAAAGTGAAATCAGTAAGGAAAGATAGTGAACTAAATAAATAAAGTCTTCATTTGGGCTGAGAAGGCAGCAAGATTTTGTCTGTATGTGGTAAAAAGTTACCAAAATACAGCTAGCAAGAGAAATTCACTTGTGTGAGTGACATATTCTGAAGTCAGAACTACTTGCCTCTGTAACTCAAGCAACAGTACTATCTATGGTGAGAATAGTTTCTCTCCTTGGGCAGCTGGAAACTTCCAGAAGGAAGATGCACCAAGACAGAGGAGACATCCACAGCATTTGCTAAACTTAACTTAAAAATCACTGCAGTTAACCCACAAGATGAAACAGAATTTTTAGCTTAAACATAATTGTGCTCGCACCCAGCTATAGAAGTTGCTTGATGTCAGTGTATTTTTGAAAACTACTGCAAGAGAGACTGAGTATTAACTGTGAACTTCAGTTTTCACTGAAGGTGTCACGTAGAAGCCGACATAAGGAAGCAGTCATCCATGAGAAATACTAATTCCCTTAAATGGAAGGAAAAAACAGTCTCTAGTACTGTAAAAAAGATAAAATAAATGGTGGTAAATAGCACAGTGGAAAACTTCTGCAGTGAGTGCTGGAATGACAAGCGACTGTCACAGCACTGACTTTCGTGGGTAGAGCCTACACTGGTCAGCAGTATGGAACTCCATGTAATAAAAAGCAATTGTTTTGCCAGAAATTTGTTAACAGTAGTGAAGTGTCGTTGTCCAAATCACTTGTCTTATAGAAAAGTGTTTCACTTACTAAACTTTCTTAAAATCAACTTTTTTTTAATTTTCTTTTTTAAAGTTTGCATGTATAGGGCAGACAGAAACGGCCCAAGCTTGCACCAGAGGAGGTTTAGATTGGGTATTAGGGGAAATCTCTTCACCAAAAGGGTTGTCAAACATTGGAACAGGCTGGCCAGGGAAGTGGTGGGGTCATCATCCCTGGAGATATCTAAGAGATGTGTAGATGGGCAGTTTGAGATGTGGTCTAGTGGTGGACTTGGCAGTGCTAAGTTAATGGATGGACTTGATGTTCTTACAGGTCTTCTCCAGCCTAAACAATTCCATGATTCTATAATGCAGACTGTACACAGTGCAATAATCAAATTTCTATGAATGTCAGATTTTGATGTAAACAAAATACAATATTCTAAACAAGGATTTGCCTGTTCATGTCCATCACTGAAAAAAATGGCCTATTTTAGGTGGAAGCAGATTAAGTTTGTCTTTTCACAGAGTATAATAGCAATAACTTTTCTGTCTATTTATTTATTTAGCCTTTTTTCCTGATGTGGTAGTTGCCAAGATACAACACATGCAACCTGAAACTGAAAATACTCTAGGGTTTATCTTAAGTAAACTGTATTGCAGAGAAGTAAATGAATTAAGTGTATATTTCAGTTATTTATAAAATGTTTTAATTCTTATGTATTGTAGATAGAGACTTCAACAGTTATATATGAAACTGAAAAACATCTCATTTCATTTTAGATCATTACCCACTCCCAAGACATATGGCAACGTGAAAGATGAGAGTTGGAAAGATGGCTGCTACTGATCTGCACAGCTTCATGCAGAGTTTCAGTGCTCATGGATACTTCCTCACCAGGCTAAAAGACAGCTTGATTAAACAAACTGTTCAGATGTGACTCTTGGAATTTGTAAAAATTCCAAACCTCTCTGTCTCTAATTAGCACAAACTGGCAGAGATTATTATAAAGCAGCACTTTAATGACATCTAACATCAGATGTTTGGTGGTCATACAATCACTTCTACATTAAACTGCTATCAGTTCTGGGGGCTTTTTATTGCTTGCTAAAAATGTTATCAATATGAGCATTTATGAGAGTGGCCAATACTGGGGCAAAAATGAATGAATGCCAAAGAAATGCCCATCTTGAAAAACAGCAAGGATAACTATCAACAAACATTATCCAAAACTTCATTTTCAGCCTATTTTAACTCAGCAGAAAGATTGGTGAATATGTACTATTGAAACAAGGCTACATGAATCAGAGCTAATGTTCTGATTGCAGACTGCTACAGTGCTAGGGAAATGTTGCTTTTACCAATTGTTTGAGATCCAGCTGGGACTGAATCCATCCTTCAGTACTGCAGGAACAATCAGTAGTTACTCTGGAGGATTGGGCAGAGCAGGGGGTCATAGCCATGACTTTTATTGCATTAAAAGGTTTGAATGTAGCAAACACACATAATGCAATAGTATAGATTGCATCTTTCCTATGTTGATTTATTGGCATTACTGGCTCTTATGTTTGATTGCCAAAAGGGCTTAGTATCAGTTGTACAATCTTTCTAACCTTAAATTCCTGGCTCAGGAAAGATGGCCTTCACTATTGTAGCCACATTTTTAACACATGGCTTGCTATTTGGGGAAAACTTTTTTAATAGTAGATTTCCTTGCAAAACAAAGAGCAAGTGATAATTTTGATTTGTTGTAATACCATACCACTATACTTGCAGCCTGCAGCAACTGTAAATGCTGATAGTTAAGGAGAAGAAAACACAACTATGCACTTGTAACATACAAATTTTAAGGAAATGAGTTGACTCTTGATGCCAAATGATATTCATTTAGGTGATGTTCCATGGTATGAGGGAGTTTTCTGTATCCTATTTTTTTACTTTCATCCATTTCTTAAATTGGTTTATTTTAAATTGTAAATATTTTTACAGAAGATATTGCTCATGTAAGTGTGTTTAAATATGTATTTTGCCTTACATATGTGTATCTTACATTACTGGTAACAGAGTATGAAACCTGCTATGTCTGTTTACAAGCTATTAAAATCCTCTGGTGGCTCTGACTTACTCTAACACATTTTGCTCAGAACAACTGATATATTTAGCGTTGAACTATTGTTTTCTGTTTTGGAAGACATCATGCAAAAGTCTATAGCTAAAATTGTATTGGGTGGGACTAGTTAAGTGGAGGGATTTTGTTTGAAGGTTTTTCAGTATTTTGGATGTACAGTTGATGAAGTAAGAGGATGTGAATGGTATATCCTTTGTGCAATGAATGACAAACACTACACGTCGGATTGGATGGTAGGTAGCCTTCAACTCCATTAGTATCTGAGTTTGGGACTGCTGGTGTATTTTGCCTCCCACCACTAAGAGGATAACTAATCCTGAAATTCTAGCACTTGAATTTTAGGCCAACATTAACATATTCCTGGATGAAAAGCCATGCAATACTACTTGACTTGGAAGAAACCAAATAGGAAGGAGTGGAGACTAACTTGCAACTTAAACTACTCAAGCAAGCTCTGGGTTGATGGGTGACTTCACACCCCAGAACAGGATCTGTGCTAAGACTTCAAAGTCAGGGTGTCAGATATACTGTAATTGCCAGATTTCAGCAGAAACCACCTTTCACCAGTACAGAGCAGTACATACCACTAATCTAGCCTTGAGTCACCTGCAGGTACAGGGAATGGATGTCAGTATCTCATGTCACTGTTCAGCAGAAGACAGGACTAGATCAAATGTGCATATTCTCAGTAAAGCCTGAATTTTAACATTTCAGCATTTTACAATCAGTGCTGCAGTCTTCACTGAAGAAAGGGGAATTTAAATTGATGGATTTTATCAAACTTCACTTGACTTATAAAATTTTGAAAGTCAGTTTAGATGATGATATTGGGGGTTTTACCATGGCTGCATCAAACTTGTGTACGTTTCCTTAAGTTAAGTAATTCACCGCTTGGGTAAATTCAGCTTGAGTTTTATAGGGATTTTTTTTCTCTGCTATTCCCCCCAAAATACAGCAAATGACTTCCTGAGAAGACACTGTCTGTTTGCTAGAAAGCCTTTGTGCATTACCAGTTCATTGGTATCAGGAAATCATGGGGCTCTGTGTTTAGAGATTTACTGCAGAATTGTGGAAATATGGATTTGATAAAATAGTGCCTATGATTTACTTAACTTATGTTTGATATAGTAGTAAGGGTTTTATGAATGTGGATTACTTTTTGTGCCAACAGCTTGGAATTGATGTATGTGTGTAGGCAGAAGGATTTATTCTGCTCCCAAAGTTATTTAATTTTTTTTTGTGTTTGAATGTTTTTGTAAGTGTTAAAAGTGTAAAAAAATATATAAAATATTCTTACCACAAAATACTTCCTGGGTCATTATTTTTACAACAAAGTGTTTTGAAAAGCTCTTAGAAATTTAGAGCATATTATTTTATTTATATTTATTTTTTTGTCTAGTAGGTTGGGTTGTTTTTCTGGAACTGTATTCACTTTTCTAGATGTCACCAGTATTGGTTTCTGCCCACTGGAAGTCATGAACTGAATACAGCACTCCTATTTGGGTGAAATCTATGATTTTGTTGAGAGACAGAGGTGGACTTGTGCCTCTGCTCCGGAAGGACCCCGCATAGTTCAGACTTACGTGAAAAACTGTATTCTAAATTTTCATCCAGAGTGATTTGTATGAGTAGTTTGAAGTATACAAACAGGCCTTTCCATTTTTTTAGGATTTGTGCTCCACCACATGAAACAAAATTTTAATTTTGAAAATTCTGTCATTTGTGCAGGAAATTACAGTACCTACTAAGCCCTCTTGGAACTGATAAGTACACATTTTATCTACCTTCTACATGAATGCCTCCATCTTTGGCTCACATACAGGGAAGAAGCTAGTTTTGAATTTGGTATCTTTCTGTAATCTGCATTTTGCTACAAAGCAGTGGGTGCAATAGTAATGTGAATGCCATCTTTGTCTTATTTGGTATTAATAAGGGTAGGTTTAATTCTATTTGGCAACCACTTAATATTCAATTTAACAAAATTTAAGCTGTAAAACTTTTAATTAATTGTTTATCCCAGCATAGTCCTCTATTTTGTAATTAAGCCAGTAGGTTAAAATGTTATTCCCTTGTTTAGCTGATGTATTTATGTAGAACTGGCTTCAGACCTGCTGCTTTTAAAAGATATTGCCACTTCTATGTCATGCAGTCGAGTACCCACTCTTCAGGAAAGTAGAGCAGCGTCAAAATCTGGTAATTAATAGTCTTTTGCCCTTCTCTTTTAGTAGGTTTCTGTAACAAACTCTTCTATATTAAACTCCTGTTTATAATTAGTATCATCACCATATTGCAAGACTGAAGATTAGAAATAGTATTTTTCTCAGTTCTCATTCTGAGGGAAGGTGTGACAGCTCCTTTGGGTCCTCTTACATTTCATGTGTATTCATTCCCCTCTAGAAGCCTGACCACAGTGGTGAAGAAAAAAAAAGTGACAAACATGTAAGGATGCAGAAGGCTGAAAATGCTTACGCTGCTGGTCTTGAGATGGCTGCACAGTGCACAATCTAATCATTTAGAAGTTAACCTTTTTCTTTCTCAAAGTATTTACATTAAAACAGGTATGGGAAATGACCACATCAGCAAATTGTCTGCAGTTCTCCCTCTTTTGATCGGAACAGAACAAACTTTAGATTTAATGTCTACTTTTTAAGTAAAACAGGCAACATGTGAGGTTGCTTTGATTTAAGAAACAAACCAGAAGCCCCACCTGCTCCATACTTGCATTTATGCCACAGTGCAGTCCGAGTCTGACACCTACAGGCAGCCTGTCTGTACTTGTCCAGCTTCAGGAAGTTGATGCTGGGATTCAGCTGCTCTCTGGAACATCTGTGTTTTACACACAACTGCCCAGTGAGGAAGATGCTTTTGGCTCTAAGAGTTAACTGAAAAGGGAAAATTTCACCAGACTCACTCTCCACAAGATTTTACAACTGTTTTCAGCTGTAATACTGCATAGAGTTGTGCTGTGTGTCGTTGTCCTCTTTGCACTAAATGATAAATTCTGCTGGGACCACGTTAAGCACTTAGAAGGGCATAAACTGTAACTCTGATGATTAAGCTGGTTTGTAGATCTTCAGCATTTATTTAAAAGATTCAAAGGAATAGGTAGCAAAAATTACTTCTTACCAGATAAGTGATTTAAGTGATTTTGGTGTATCATCCACCTGTTACAGAATGAATTAAAAATTAAAAAAAAATATTTGAAAACTGGAATGCCTGCGATCTCTACGCAGTGTGGCACTCTCAGGGGACAAAAGTGGACTTCACCTTTCACCAGACTAAACAAAGGAAGATACTGATATTGTAATCTGAGCTTCTGTCAGCAACAGCATAAGCAGATGGAATCACATGGTTGGAAAATACCTCTGAAATCATCAAATCCAACCAACCAAGTGCCATGTCCAGTCTTTCCTTTAACACATTCAGGAATTATGATTCCACCACCTCCCTGGGCAGTCCATTCCAGTGTCTAATCACCCCTTCTGTGAAGAAAAGTCTATCTCCAATGGAAACCTCCCCTGGCACAGCTTGACTAGCTGACTGAAAGAAGAGAGCCATCCTCGCCTGACTACACCATCCGTTCATGCAGTTGTAGACAGGGATAAGGTCACCCCTCAGCCTCCTTTTCTCCAGGCTAAAAACCCCCAGCTCCCTCAGCTGCTCCTTGTGCTAAAACTAGAACACAAGAACTAGAACTTGTGCTCCAGACCCCAGCTTCATTGCCCTGAAAGCAACAAAAAATAATGTAAATCCATTTTCTTTTAAAAATAGTTTTAATAACTTACACAGTAAATAATAGTTTTAATAACAAACAACAATAAAGCTTAAAAGACGGTGATATGTGATGCCTTCTCCCCCAGCATTTTGTCCCCCTTCCTGCTGTTTTTAAATTATCCCTGAAAGCTTGCTTCCATTGGCACTACAGTATGGGAGATTCAAGATAATACACCTGTTGGGGTGAGTGGGATATGCCTTACTGGGAAGTTCACTTTGTGGTTCATCCCCACTGCCACTTGGCTGCTGGTTATCATGCACAATGCACAGAATACAGAGTATATATTCTTTTCCATTCTGTTATTTTCCATTCTCTTTGCCATGATTTTCTTGGCACTTGGAAAATTGCAACCTTTCACAGCCCTGCTATGACAGGCTGATTAAAAACCTCACTAGTGCAAACAGCTTGAACTAATGTCAGACTAACTACTGCGTCCCTCCACACCCAGCACATGATCTCCAGAAGCCTGATACCAGGTACCTCCACCCTCCCCTCCAGTAGCAAGACTAGGGTTTTTTTCATGGAAACTCTCTACATAGAAAAGGAAGGTAAATAAAACCACTTCTGTTCCACGTTGTTCCCTGCTTCTTCCGTGCCCAAGAGAAAAAGGTGTTTATTAAATGTGGGAGTAGGTCATCAGTGACTTCACTTGTGACTCGCTGTGGCCTTGGCTGCTTAAAGCCACAAATGGGATCAGGAAATAGCTGGAGTGTGATGCGTTGGTGGTGGAAGAGTGGTCAGGGTAGGGGGCTGGCATGCTGGGCTTTCCCCAGTCTCCTGCTCTTCCCAGGCACCCCCCATGGGCACTGACAGATCAGCTGCTGGGTTGGACAGGGTGGGGGGGCTGCTCTAACACCGGCATCACTGCACTGTCACTCCCAGCAGTCTCCTCCCTTTGTCTTAGAGTGCTCTTCCTAAGCTGTTTCCCTTTAGACATTATCAGCAAACAAAACTGCACAACCCATTACAAAAGCTGTTACCCGACTGATCCTTACCTACCTTTCACTCAGCAGGGTTAACACTGCTGTGTGAATTTTAAGCTGCTGCTGGTCTCTGTGCTGCATATGAGGGCCAAAATACCGCCAGAAGGTCATGGTGGGCCCAGCTCTGAGTTACAGTGAGTTTGGTTCCTGTTCAGGGCAGAGTGTAAGGCCAGATGTGCTGCTGGCTGACTGAACCTGATACATGCCAAATTAAAGACAGCCTAAGTGCTCTTG